TTACATTTCCCTTACATCCTGGGAAATTTGATATATTTTACATTTATTTTATGTTTTTAATTTATTTTGGAAAGTTTTATATATGAAGGAAACAACATCTGAATGTATTCTGCTTTTAAATGCACTTGTTTGATAAAAATACCTTTTTCTCAGTTTTTTGTCCAAAATGTTGTGTTTTTGACAAAACCTACCTCTGTTCAAGAGGCAATAAAAAAAGAACAGATGAAGATAAAATAAAAACGTTTTTTTTTGCCTAAAAGCAGAGGCTCAGATCTTTATTTTTATATATATCATCTTCATATATTCATGGAAGAAAATATTCAGCGGGGGCATTCAAATTTAGCGAAAATCGTCAAAAACCCTGGCGGTGGCTGGCAACTTTTTTTTAAAACGCTGGCGGGGAAAGAGTTAAAGATGCTAAATTGTGAATGTCTATTAAATATCTTCACATTGTGATATAGCTACAGTAGTGCTATCATGGCGTAATAATTTGTTAGGTTGTAAAATGTATTACCTGAATAAAATGAAATCGAAGGCATCGTCCTGTGGAATCATTCAAAGGCAGCATTCGGAGATGTTCAACTAATAAATTCCGTCTTAGGAGCAACTGTGGAAAATATACAGATATGGGATCCCCGAAGGTCATATGTCAGGTCTCCTACCCTCTTGACAGAGGCCAATGCAACCAGTAGCAAAGGAAAAAAGCTTTAAGTCCACTGATTGCAGAGGCTCAAAGGGAACATCCTGAAGTGCTCAGAGCACCAAAGAAAGATCCCAAGAGAGTATGGAGGGGGGTCGAGGAGGATTTAATCCCAAATATTTCAAACTATTTGTAAATCATGAGAAAATTGTGATTTTAACCACGGAAACAGGGCGTGTGAGCTGTGCTGACAATGATGCACCTGAGGCCCTTGGATACCCTAACCAACCTCCTGCCAGAATGAGCAAACAGGATGTGCAACAAGTTAGACACTATTTCTGATTTGTTTTGGATTTCAAAAGTCAGTGATTACCATTCTTTGCATTTTTTTTTTTTTTTTATTTTTTGGGTTATTATGTAATCATTGCAAGCATCACTAATAAATATTCTAAAAACAAAAATATTTTTGATTGTGATGATTATATATATATATATATATATATATATATATATATCAATTAGTGACAGAATAAAATTGATTGTTTTTGGGCAATTTTGACAGCTGTTTGGGGGATTATTTTATGAGGCCAAACTCTTTGCTGTAGGCCTATACTGAAAGGCTGAATATGTTAGAGCCTACCTAATCCCTGCACCCTTCTGGGATCAGTTTAAATCCAGATTTTTTTTTTTTTTTTTTTTTTTTTTTTAAAGTGATCCAAATCCTACAAAAAAAATTCTGAAAGACCCAAACTAAAGGTTTGATCCGGATCAAAACCAAGATTGGATTACGTGATCTAATCCAATTATGTAATCCGTTTTTTCTTTTGAAAAACCCATTTTCAAGATTTGATCCAATCTGTTATCCAAAATCCTAGTGGATTACTTTTAAAAAAACGAGCCCAGAGCATTCTAGTATCCTCTGTTTCAGTGTCTGATGTGTGTTGAGCGTTATCTGGCAGTGGTTCATCCTGTAACTTTTCTGAAGTACAAACCTCTCAGATATAGAGTGATCTGCTGCACTGCGGCCTGGATAATTATTATTGGATCCTGTTTGGTCTGCCTGATTGCAAGCCAAGTTAATTTGTATATTTCCAGCTTATATTTAATATCTAAATGACTCTCCGTGCTTAGAGTGAACCCTTGGTATTTCGCTGAGCCAAAGCACAACCACAACAATGGTCTTCCGCAAACTGCATGCAGTTTTGTTTTATAACCGCTAGAGGGTCGAAAGTTACACTGTGTACTTTTAAAGATGGTCCCACAAATGTGCTGTTTTTTGCATTAATGTAATTGAGGTGTTGTAAGCATTCAACATGCAATTTTCCACTTAGAACTAAGATGTATTTTTTCCCTTTGTTTACTCATAAGGCTATCCATCTTCTAGTTCATGTTTACTTAAAATATTTCCATATCTGGTAATATTTTCATATCTGGTTCATGCACACTACAGTCAGTCTACAAAACAGCACAGATAGATCCAGAGAGACTGAACATTCACCCCTTCAGGTGATTGTTGAGATCTTGTTACATTTTTTAAGGGAAAATATTTAAGGGGACTTAGAAACCTAGAGTAAAACACGACTTTTTAAAATTAAAATAATAATTGCATGTTCTTAAGTCATTTAATATTGGATTGCAATTTGGTTATTTGGGTGTTGTGTAGAGAATTACTCACAGTGGTAATATGAAAGTGACTTTCTTTAAAATGACCTGTGAATGTAAGAAATTTAAAATTGAAATGTCCCTATTATTTATAATGAAATGGAAATACACACTGTTTGAAAACCTTAAAACTTTTTTTTTTTTCATACAGTCTGAATTACAGTTCTACTTCTCTCTTCCTGTTGATCACAGTTTTTTTCTTGTTTTTCTGAACCGAGAAGACAAAGACAGAGGAGATGCATAATTTTACAGGGAACTTTACCACACCTGAAGCATCTACAAACTCCACAGCTCAGTCCTGTTGGATAGTGAACAGACCGGACATTTTTCTGTACAGCATCGATTTGCTGTTTGGTCTTCCTACACACTCCTATGTTATTTGGCTCATCATCACAGGAACAGGAAGTGTTGCATCAGAGTTTTTCAACCTCAATCTCTCTTTTTGTGAGCTTGGTAGCTGTCTAAATTGTTTGTTCTATATAGTTGTTAGTTGTACTTGGTTTCCACATCTTAAGACATTCACATATTTGTTATTAGGGCTAGGCATCACTGGCCGTCCTCTGTTTCAGTGTTTGATCTGTGTTGAGCGTTACCTGGCAGTGGTTCATCCTGTAACCTTTCTGAAGTACAAACCTCTGAGATATAGAGTGATCTTCTGCACTGCGGTCTGGACAATCACTCTTGGATCCTGTTTCTTTAGTTTTTTTATTGAAATCTCACAAAACAGTCATATGCAATCATGGTTCTTCTCACTGCAGTTCCTCCTCTTCTTCTCCATCCAGTTGTTTTGTCTTGTGGCTGTTCTCAGAGCTCTGAAGCAGTCAGGACCAGGAGAGAGAGGGGGGGAGAGAGAGGAGAAAAACCACATGAAGAGAAGAGCGTTTCATCTTATTTTAATTACTACTGCGAGCATGATTATTATCTATATGCCATTTATTATCTCAGGAATCTGTTTCATTCTGATGCAACAATTTATTAAGGAACTTTTTTCTTTTGGTTTTATTTGTTATATACTGGCTGGTTTTGTTCAGCCTGTTCTTTACCTGCGCCGGACTGGAAAACTCTCCTTTCTTTGCTCCCCTCCAATTGTTCAATAGTAAGTTAAATTACTGACCGTTTTTATTTTATGTGTTATATCTTTGGCAGGAAAATTAGGACATTAGGAAATTGTTTTTCCATGACAATAAAACTTGTTCATGTGAGCCTATGTCATTTAGAGAGATTCACATTTACTCTGTTTTATATAGTTGTTAGTTGTTGTTCCAATACACTTCTTCAATGATAAAGCAGTGTTGCGTTTTTTCCCCCATTTAACAGAAGCGATTGTTTCTTTAAACTTGAAATCCCATCACACACACATTTATCACTCTAAAGATTTGCATCACAGGAGTTAATGTGTTGCACCTGTGAGGCCAGTTTTAGATTTTTGAATATTGTTTGAATTTTTTTTTTTTTTACATAATTAATATTTTAAAGGCCTAAGTTGTCAGTTTATAAATGTTATTTTAATATTACTTGGTTAATGACTTCAATCTTGATTCAACATAAGCCAGTCATGTTAATAAAATGTCAAAACATAAAACATGGTTGTAGAGAAAAGTTTTTCTCTAAAGAGAAATAATCACTCTTAAAAACAAAGGTTCCAAAATGGGTTTTCACAGGGATGCCATTTTTGGTTCCTCAAATAATCTTTCAGTATACAGTTCTTAAAATAAGACATTTTTAGTGTGAAGAACATTTCTAAATAATAATTTTTACACAACCTTTTGTGTAATGGAAAGGTTCAATGGATGTTGAATGTTCTTTATTGGTCTCTATGGTTCCATGAAGAACCTTTATCACTCATGGAACCTTTCCATTACTTTTTTATTTTTTATTTTTAAGAGTGTATTGATTAGACACTTTGCATACTGGTCCCTGCCTTTATTCTGGGAATTATCTCACATTGGATGGTTGTTAAAATTGCCATTTACTGCATGAATGTATGATAAACTATAAGCGTTCAAATTTAATAAAACTTATCATTGTCTTTTTCATTATTATAATTATAATTATTTAATTATTTTTTACTATTTGCATAGCTGGTGCATGTGATGCAGATGAAGTTATGCAGATCTATTCTTGCGTCAGTCAGCCTATAAAACACAGCAGAGAGATGTATACACATCCAGAGAGGCTGGACATTCACTCTTCAGGTGATTAACTTTTTATTAATTTTGTTGTTTTCAATTCAATAATAGTCAACATTTTGCTGCAATTATAATATATATAAGGATTATGAACACATTATTAAAGGGCTAAGACTTGTCTTATGAGATAGATTATTCAAATAGAAGTGTGAGCCAATTATAGAACCGATCGGATTGCTCATGTAAACATAGACTATGAAAAAAAAACTGTATTTTTTCATGAAATATTTGTCATGTTCAAGTGATGTAATATTGGATTTTGTTACGCATATGTTAGTCATATTTTTACGCATTGTATTGTGCTAATTGACCCACTATGGTGACTTGGATAACCCAAATGTTAAAATTCTGGAATGTTTCTTTAATTTAGTTGAATTACACACTTTTTGGAAACCTTTACATTTCAGTTAACTCTCCAGTAGTCTGAAATACATGTATCCTTCTCTCTTCCTGTATACCACAGTTGCAATGTCATTTAAAAATAATGTGTGACTTCCTGAGATGAGAGGATGAATATTTCTACAGAGAACTTCACCACACCTGCAGCATCCACAAACTCCACAACTGATATTAGCCTATTGAACAGTCTGGAAATGTGTATGTTCGGCATCTGCTTCCTTTCTGGTCTTCCTACACACTCCTATATTATATGGCTCATTGTCACAGGAACGGGCAGTGGAGTTGCATCAGAGTTCTTCTTTCTCAATCTCTCTGTTTGTGAGATTGGTAACTGTATCAATGCGGTGTTTGGTCTACTGTCATACTTTTCTTCACTTTTTAATATATTAACAAATTTTGTGCAAGGACTCTGCATCACTGGTCGTCCCCTGTTTCAGTGTCTGATGTGTGTTGAGCGTTACCTGGCAGTGGTTCATCCTGTAACCTTTCTGAAGTTCAAACCTCTCAGATATAGAGTGATCTGCTGCACTATTGCCTGGATAATCACTCTAGGTTCTTGTTTATTCTGCATCTTTATTTTAGTCTCAGTCAACAGAGATGCATTTGTATGGTTTTTCTCAACAATGTTCCTCCTCTACTTCTCCATCCAGTTGTTTTGTCTTGTGGCTGTTCTCAGAGCTCTGAAGCAGTCAGGACCAGGAGAGAGAAGGAGAGAGAGAGAGGATGAAAACCGCATGAAGAGAAGAGCATTTTTTCTTATTCTGATAACAACAGTGACTATGAGTATCCAAAATGTCCCATTTACTATCACAGGATTATATGTCATTCTAACTAAACAGGATGTCGATGACTATTGGTTGCCTGCTTTTATTTGTTATGTGTTGACTGGTTTTTTACAGCCTTTTCTTTATTTGCAACGAACTGGAAAGCTGTTCCGCCTCTGTTCATCATAAAACATGGTGCTTTATTTAGCATTAAAGGTAGGGTAGGACATTTTTTTTTATACACAATTTTTGTTACTGTAGTTGAAACTCTCTTCACATCCTGATAACAATCAATCATAGAAGTGGTCTAACTCATAGGTGAGGTTTTGGGGGTGTGGGGATTGCAAAATATTTGTTTGAGTATTTAATGAGGAAAAAATAGGAATTCAAAAATGTTAAACATTTTGAGATGGAACGGTTCACTTTGTAACTTTAACGGACATCGTATTTGATTTTACGAATGCGCTCAGACTGGGATGGGATTCAATATGGAGCCACTCAAAGCAAAGAATCAATTGGAGGATCCTACAATTAATCTTCTTGCTTTTTCCAATGACGATTATTTAAATGTCATGTTGAAATGAAGTGGACTGTGTTTATATTATTATCCAGTGTCATTTACAGCCACCGTTGGATTGTTGGTTGATATTGAAAAGAATGCTGTTCAAGTTTAGAGCTGCGTTTTAAATCACTGTATGTGCTGTTTGTGAATTTTGGATCCTGTTTTTTTTTTTTTAAACAGAATTATTGTAATGTTAAATTTAACTTTGAAATTGAACTGGTTGAATTGCAATAATTATAAGAATTGTCAATGTTTTTTATGTTTTTTTTTAATGAATGACAAAAAATAAAAACAATAATGAAGCTGTCATATAGCCTAATTGATAATAGCAAATTGTTATAATAGTTTTGCCCAGATTTTTTGCTTTTGTTGGCACATTTGACATCTTGTTTTTGAGTATTTGTGTTCACTGTTTTGCCATTTTTGTTGAAAGTGCTTTTAGGTTATAGTTTTGTGCAGTTTTGTTCTTTTTGAATGGATTAATGGTTGCAGAAATGCTGAGGAGATAGTCTTAAGGATTGTCAACCAGCTGTTACAATGTCTGTATATTGTATGCTATGTAAATTAACAATGTGTACTCTCAACCCGATCTCACGACCAAGTCGTACTAATTCGATGAATGATTAAAAAGTGGCTAATTCGTAACAATTCATACGACCTCACTCGTACGAATTAATACGATTTTGCTAAATCGTACATATTTTACGAATTGGCCAATTCGTATGAATTCGTACGAATGACCTACCCCTTACCCCGCCCCTAAACCTAACCATCACGTGGGTTTAGACAAATCGTACGAATTAGTACGAGTGAGGTCGTACGAATTAGTACGAATTAGCCACTTTTTAATTATGCGTTGAATTCGTACGAATTGGTCGTGAGATAGTGTTGGTACTCTGCTACTTGGAGACAGATATCGCTGTTTATTTGTCAACAAAAGTTGAAGAACAACGTGTTATTTTGTGTCACCCTGTGGACTTTTTACAGCTCCAGGGCTTGTTAAAACTAAATTAAACTTCAACATTTTTGCATTCCGTCCCATGGTCAACTGGATCGACAAAGTGGCGGCACTTTCTTAAGATTTGGCAAAAATGAAATCTTTTATCTGTTTTCTCTAGTCATTTGCACCAATAATAAATACATAAAAAAAGTTTCTATGCATTGATTGATTGACCCAAAAGTGTTTGTATGCGGCTGTACATACAAATATCCCAAACTGACATGGACACTTAAAGCACACATATCGGATACGTCAATTTGATGAGCATGTTTTCATCTGTAAGATGCATATTTTAGAGTGTTTGCTCATCTGAATACGTCTCTAAGACATTCAGATGTTACATAGACATTTAGATTTTAAAGATGTTTAGGATTTAGAATGTATGTAAACTGACTTTTTAAAGATGTTTAGCAGATGTTTTTACATAGAAGATGCTTTCCAGATGAACTGCTTTTTAACAGACATCTTGGAGACGTATGCGTCTTATCTGGCCTTTGAGAAGAGCTCCAAGGATTCTGGATAAAATGAGTATCACAATTTTTTGCTTACAATAAAGATGATTCTCTCACGATTCTTAAGAACTTTTTATTTACAAACCCTGAACATTAGGTTACCAAACAAGATATCATTAAAATAAGAGATAATGCTATTTGCTTCAGTCAAACAAATAATAAATAAATACTAAAATTGCCATTAAACACTGACAACATTCAAATGTATTATGCCAGACAAGACCCTTTGTAAAGATTCTTAGCAAAAAACTATAGCCTATCAACATTATGAGGCTTCAGTTCAGAATGACAACTAGAGACACTGTTGCCCCCTGTGCTTAAAACCCTTTCAGTAGGACAATTGATGGTTGCAGGAATGTAAAGGTATTTCCTGGTCAGTGCAAATACATTTAGCATTCCACCTGACTAAGGGGTCATGTTCGCTGCCAGTATTGCTTGAGAACAGGTAAGACTTGTTAGGCTCCAGGTTGACACCTTGTTCTTGATGTGAGATTGGATCTGGTGGCCCTTAATTTCTTTGAGCTGCTTTGAAGAAGCTAAGGTCTTTTGGGTCAGCTTTGCAGGGGAGCTATAGGGAGACTTTCCTGTGGAGGAAAATCAGGTTTGCTCAACCACAATTTACTGTTAAAGAATCAAATTGGTAACAATTAAAAAAGATGTACCTTGTAATACACACTAGATGTATAGATAAATTTACTTTAAATTTACTTTATAAATTTACTGATGTACCTTGCAATACACACTAGATGTATAGATAAATTTACTTTAAATTTACTTTATAAATTTACTGATGTACCTTGCAATACACACTAGATGTATAGATAAATTTACTTTAACTGTTGTTAGCCTTGACATCTCATCTTTTAGTCTGTTCTTGACAGCAGTTTTGTTATGCTCAAGTCATCTTGAACATGATATCGAGGGTTGTGGCTTTGACAAGGATGTCTTGTATTTTTTGGTCATGGAATTTTTCCTCTAGATACCCCAGGATCTTTGAACTGACTGTGCATATAAGATCAGAGTCATTTTCCTTAACCCTCTGGGGTCTAATGTGTTTTTGGGTCCCTTGAGATGTTTTGACATGCCCTGAACTGCATTTTCAGTTGCTTATAAACATATTAATGCCAATTGTTCAATTAAACTCTATTTACGACAAACAGGGCTACCATAATATGTGAGCAACATGTTTGTATTTTTGAGAGGATATTGTTTATGCATGGTTATTGAAAAAACTAAAACTTAAAGTTCCTGAAGTAAGGCTACAAAACACATACTAAATATGTGTCCACAAGACTTTTGACTGGATGTTGTCACCTAGAGTTTTGCTTTAAAATGATGTGAACATATTCCTGCCTAACCATTTACACAAAACAATACATTGATTTAAATTTTATCAGAAACGTTTTGTTTGGAAAGGCAATATGCGAGGGGCTGTGTTCACACCTGAGAAGATAAAGTCTTGCTTAATGAGCCTCATAATGAGTCTGCACAAAATTGCCAGACATAGGTCTCAAATTCGAGCCCGAATCACTCTTATTTATTTTACTGAACAGGATTATAGAGGCGATCGCAGTGATCAGAGAACGGCTCATTCAGCCCATCAGGAGATTGTTTAAGCACAGCCCATTCTCACCCCCAAGGCGTCACTTAACTGAAGCATTTGGACATGCTTCAATATCTGACGCTTTAGGCGCCCTTTAGCGTCAGTAAGATGACGCCCTAGGATCGCGTGTACCCTACCCCCACCCCACACCTAAACCTAACCGCGTCCTCTAACAGACGCTTTCCTTTAGCGTCAGTTAGATGACGCCGTAGGATCGCGTCATGTCAGCCCATTCTCACTCCCAAGGCGTCACCTAACTGACGCCTTGGGAAGCATTTGGACATGCTTCAATATCTGACGCTTTAGGCGCCCTTTAGCGTCAGTTAGATGACGCCCTAGGATCGCATGTACCCTACCCCCACCCCACACCTAAACCTAACCGCGTCCTTTAGCAGACGCTTTCCTTTAGCGTCAGTTAGATGACGCCGTAGGATCGCCTAAAACTTCAAATATTGAAGCATGGTCAAAGGTGACGCCTTGGGGTGAGAATGCGTTGTTAAGCATGTATGGGTTAGAAAACTGCAATTTTTAACATAAGTTGTTGCGCAATGCACCCGATCGATTGATGTATAACACTAACACGTAAGATCAAAATCAACTGAGTATTATTTTGAGTCTCTTTTGAGTCTCTGAACCATATTTTTTACATATTTTTATTCAAAGATCAACAGTCTGTCATTAGTCTTTAGTCTACCACAAAACAACAACATTAAAATCATGAACTCCCAATTGGAGTTCTCGCTCAGAACAGAACCATACTGCCAATCTAAACTAATAACTAATTGTCGATCGTATTTGACGATAGTGGTCCTGACAGAATTAACCTGAACTGTACACATTATTTATGTTTTTAATCTCATAAGACTAGACAGAATGGGATTTGTTGGCACTTACTATTCAAATGATTTAAAAAAGCATGTCATTTTAAACCTCATGTTTTTTTTATTTTTTATTTGAGTGCAATATTTGCATAAGTATTATTTTATGTGAAATGTTGCATATGAAGCTGTGCAAATGACAACATTGAAGTGAGACTACAAAAACAGCACAGAGTATAATTTACATCCAGATGAACTGGACATTCTCTCATCAGGTGAGAAAATCTTCTTTTTTAATTAATTTGTTAGTTACTCCATTGAGTAATATGCAAAATATCAGTGTGATTATCAGACATGGTTTTATGGTTAGATGATTTATCTTCTGATGATTAATCTTTATCTTCTTCTCATATCTCATTTTTAAAGGAATGTCATTGTCTTCTGTGTAAATATATATTTATATACAGTATGTTTTGACGGTTTTTAATGAAGTCTTAATTGCCTGGTACATTTGTGTTTCTTTTTTCAAATAGAATATACCCTAATTAATCATTTTGTGAGGTTCTGAGGTGAAAAGATTGGGGAGATGACTAACACCATGGTTAACTTCACCACACCTGAAGCATCTACAAACTCCACAACTGATTCCTATGAAATAATCACCAGAATATGTGTGTCCAGCATCATTTTTCTGTTTGGTCTTCCTACTCACTCCTATGTTATATGGCTCATCATCACAAGATCAAGTGAAGTTGCATCAGAGTTCCTCAACCTCAATTTCTCAATTTGTGAGATTGTTCTTTGTCTGAAAAATGTGTTTAATCTGCTGGAAATTCAGTATTCATGTTTCAAGACACTGACACAAGTTTTGCAAGGACTCATCACTGGTCGTCCTCTGTTTCATTGTCTGATGTGTGTTGAGCGTTACCTGGCAGTGGTTCATCCTGTAACCTTTCTGAAGTACAAACCTCTCAGATACAGAGTCATGTGCTCTGCTACTGTCTGGATAATAACTTGTGGCTCATGTTTATTCTGCTGGCTCATTTTGAAGTCACTTACCACAATCTTTTATACATGGTTCTTCTCACTACAGTTCATCCTCTTCTTCTCCATCCAGTTGTTTTGTCTTGTGGCTGTTCTCAGAGCTCTGAAACGGTCAGGACCAGGAGAGAGAGGGAGAGAGAAAGAGGAGAAAAACAGCATAAAGAGAAGAGCATTTCATCTCATTTTAATATCTACTGTTAGCTTGGCTGTTACATATGTTCCTTTTATAATTTCAGGATTCACCGCAATTTTTACACAACAGGATTTTCCGGTTCTTTGGTCTACTTCTGTCTTTTGTTATATTCTGGGTGGTTTTATTCAGCCAGTTCTTTTTTTGAATCATGTTGGAAAACTGAACTGTTTTCATCAAAACCTGTTAAAGAAATCCATTGTAACGTGAACAATGTAAAGTAAATAATCATTGTTTATATTCCAGCTGAATTTACACTTTTACTGACACAGTTTATGATTCCAGAATATTTCAGTCAGCCATTCACTGTTTTACTTTTTTGGTATCTTTAAAATGACTGACTAATGCATAAAATTAAAATCACTGATGTATATATGCATAGTATGCCTTTTCTAGCTGTTATGTTGTTATTTTGTTATGTGGTTTGTTTCTGAATAAAGTACTTTATTAAGTTAAAGTATTTGTCATAGAGATTGTACTTCAAATACTGTGCAGACTCTGTGGACTTAATAGCCTATCATTTATGTAAATGTTGTGTTTGAGTGAAAATTATCTAATTTATTTACCTTGTTTTTGTTATATTGATTATGTGTGAGCGAAGTGCATGGTATGCCGTTGTTTGGGATGTATTCATGTTTATACTACAAATGCACATTCACAGACACATCTTATTTATTAATTTGTAATCTTATTGTGAACTATTTTGCAATCAGTATCTAGAAGTGACCTTTTTTCTATTCAAATGTTTAAGCTATTTGAATAGAATACCACGTGTAATTTTGAACCTCATGCTTCCTTATATTATTTTACATATCCATTTTATGTGAATTGTTTATGTGGTGCTATTTGTGTTGCAGCTTTAAAGTAAGACTATGAAAACATACAGTAGTCCAGAGGGATTGGACATTCAGTCTTCAGGTGACAAACTTTTCTTTTCTTTTTTTTTTTAAATTTTATATTCAATAATATGCAGAAAATATAAATACCATCATTATAAAGATGAGTTGTTTGATGAATGCAGCCATATTTTGTAAATATTTAAATTTGGAATACAACTGGTAATTTAAGTGTAGTGCTGAATAACTGACTGTGGATTTATTAAGTTACCTGAATGATCATACCTACACATGAAAGTTATTTAATATTGGTTGGCTTTGATTATTTTGATTTTAATTTTAGAACGGCAGAATTCAAGATTGGAATCTGTTGGGGAAAAAAAAAGTAAGGAAGAAATGAACTCTACACTGAACTTCACTACAGAATCAACAACTAATTCCATTGGACTAATGAGCAGTCTGGCACTGTGTGTGTGCAGCATCAATTTCCTTTTTGGTCTTCCTATACATTTTTATGTTATAAGGCTCATTGTCACAGAAACTGGATTTGCAACAGACTTCTTCAACCTAAATATTTCTGTTTGTGAGATTGGCAACTGTCTGAAATGTTTAATTGATATACTGTCAATTTGGTTTTCAAATTTCAAGACATCGTCTCAGTCTTTGCAAGGACTATGCATCACTGGTCGTCCTCTGTTTCAGTGTCTGATCTGTGTTGAGCGTTACCTGGCAGTGGTTCATCCCGTAACCTTTCTGAAGTACAAACCTCTCAGATATAGAGTGATCTGCTGTACTGTTGCTTGGATAATCACTCTTGCCTCCTGTTTGTTTTGCATGTTTATTGTAATCTCGCTCAACACTAGTCCACACGCACTGCTGTTCAATGTGCAGTTTGTACTTTTCCCCTTTGTTCAGTTATTTTTCCTTGTAGCTGTTCTCATAGGTCTGAAACAACCAGGACCAGGAGATAATGACAAAGAAAAGGCAAACCAAATGAAAAGGAGAGCATTCAATCACATTCTAATTACTACTGTGGCTGTGGTTATCATATTTGTCTCATATAAAATTTCAGCATTCATTTTAACACAGCAGCATATTTCAGCTCTGCAGTTTATTGCTTCAATTGGTTATTTGCTAGATGGATTTTTACAGCCTGTTCTTTTTCTGCGACGAACTGGAAAAATCACCTGTTCCTCATTATACTAATGTCACTATTTTTTTTTTTTTCTAAATTAAAAAAATTCATGATGCCAAAACATGTTAGTGTATAGGTAAAATGGTCACTCATTTATTCAGAGAGGTCAAACTGACTAGTGATTTAAATTGTTATTTGCATACACATTTCAAATTGTATTTGAGTGTTAATCAGATATGGTTGAAACACTTGTTTGTGGTTTGTTTGTTTTGAATAAATACTTACTGCATCACCCAGTTTAACCATTTTCCAGATTGAGTGTTGGACTTGGATCACCCTGTCTGTTTTTTTTTTTTTTTTTTTTTTTTTTTTTTTTTTTGGGGCGACCGATTCAATGTACATTTTCCCTCATGTGTTTTGTTGTAATGCTTGAAACAACCCAATACATTCATTAAATGTCTTACTTTTTATGACAAGGTGGAGTTTTTTGTGTGGATTTTTAAAAACATTCCTTTGAAGAATTTTAGTTATAATTGTTTTTGTCATCTGAGTGAAAAGTCTAAGGACTTATCAAACAGAAAGCAATTTTGCTCTTAAAAACATGAGACGCACATACTAGTATCAAACTGCAGAGCTTCCATTTACTGGTGTTTTTGAAAAGGTCCTGTTCACACATGATCTCTTACAGGTATTTTACCAGTAAAGGCTGTATGTGTGAAAGAGGCTAATGATGTCACCATTTTCATAAATTTGTGTTTTTGTAATTTACACAGAGACGAGAACGGTGTATTTTTTTAAAAAAACTTGCACTTTGAAACCCGTTTTCAAAAGCTTGCATTTACAGGCCCCCAAGAGGTTGTTATTGTGTATATGAACAACCAAAATACATTAAACGTTTAATGTAATTCAACTTTCTTTGATTTTATTTGTGAAATGTAGCCTACCAGAACTTTCAGAGTGAAAATTGTTTCAAAATAAATTCTACACTGATTTTTTTTCAGTGTGTGTTTATTGGATGTGGTTATTGTTTTTTTTTTTTATCATTGTTTTTTAAATACAATACTTTACTATTCATTCACTTTTATTTAGATAATCTTCTTAAGACATGCTACTTCTAACTATGAGTACATTTGCAACTGCATTTTGACTAACTCATTAATTTGCTACTTCATGTCAACTAGCTATTAACTTATTTTATGTTCTTAAATGCTCAAAAATGTTTTCCAAGAAGTGCCAGATTTAATTTATTTATTGATAAGACATTGGGTATCACCCGCGTATTGAATGTAAAACCAGCTTTGTTTCTTGGTGAGCACTGCTTTCCGCCTTGGTAATTTGTCATTACCACAGAGCATAGCTAAGACGAGAGAGACCTCAAGGTCTTTGAATGTTATGTGCTGCATATGTAGTGTACATTTCTATAACTGTCTGCAACAAATGCACACAATTTATACTTCTATTTAAATGTTTTAAGCCATTTGAATAAAAGACATTCAATCATTTTGAATCTTATGCATGTCTTGCATATGTTTGCATATGCTTTGTTTTATGTGACATGTTACTTATGCACTTATATATTCTTGTGACTGTAAAGTGAGACAAAATAGCACAGAGTGTCATTTACACCCATAAAGACTGGACATTCACTCTTCAGGTGACAAACTCTCCTTTTTGATTGATTTGTTTGTTTGTTTTTATTTTTAATAATATGCAAAAGCATAAGTGTGACGATTAGATGTAGTTTAAATGTTATGAGTGAATTAGATAAATAAGCTGAATGAGTAAAATGATGCTGAAGTGTAGGCTAAGAAATGAATAACGTTTGTTTTATAATTAATTGTTATTAATAGAATCATACATTTTTTAAGTAATATATTTTGGGTAATTTAAAGAATTCGTAAGCTTAGAATTGTAAGGTTCTATCTCCGTTTAGGGTAGTTCTATGATATTGAGCATCAAAGTTTTTACATCCCAGATGGCAAAACTGTTATGTAGTATAATCTTCTATTATAGCTTGATCTATTAATCTTTTTTTTTTTTTTTTTTTTTTTTTTTTTTTACAAAAATAACACCACACAGGCATTAATAAACACCCAATGGATCAGATTATGTCAAAAACTCAATTTCGACCAAAAGTGGAGATAAAACCTTATAATTCTAAGCTCACGAATTAGTTTACTATTGTGTAGAATTGAGACTTCTGATGTATTGATTTGCTAATTATGTCACGTCAAATTCCCTGGACATGAAAGCAATTTAAAGGAGTGGTTCACTTTAAAAAAAAAAAAAAAAAAAAAATTTTAATGACCGATCGTTTCGCATGATAAGACCCTTATCGTCTGGTATTGTTTAAAGCCCTTTGAAGCTGCTCTGAAACTGGCATTTGAACCTTGAACGGTTTGGTGCCCAGTGAAGTCCATTATATGGAGAAAAAAATCCTGGAATGTTTTCATCAAAAACCTTAATTTCTTTTTGACTGGAGAAAGAAAGACATGGACATCTTGGATGACATGGGGTGAGTAAATTAGCTGCATTTTTTTTTTTTTTTTTTAAAGTGAACTACTCTTTTAATATAGGAAATATGAGTGTGTTGGAGACTGGGATATTGAAGAATTTAATCTCTAGTTAATGTGTTTTGGCTTTTTTCTTAGTACATTTGCTCTTCTCTATCCAATAGATCACTGTTGCAACTATTTTTGATAGTTGCAACAGTGCAACAATTTTTTTTAATTTTATGAAGAGATTTTGAAAACTCAAGGAGGAAATGAACAACTCTACAGTGAACTTCACCACTGAATCATCCACAACTTATTCATTTGAGTCTTTGGACATTTTTGAAATGTATGCATGCAGTTTTAATTTCCTGCTTGGTCTTCCTACTCATTCCTATGTTATATGGCTCATCATCACCACAGGAAGCGGAGTTGCATCGGTGTTCTTTAAACTCAATCTGTCTGTTTGTGAGATTGGGATTTGTGTGACTAGTTTGATTTTTATACTGTGTTTTTGGTTTCCAAGTCTCACAACATTAATGTGGTTTTTAATGGGAATAAGCATCACTGGTCGTCCTCTGTTTCAGTGTCTGATCTGTGTTGAGCGTTACCTGGCAGTGGTTCATCCTGTAACCTTTCTGAAGTACAAACCTCTCAGATATAGAGTGATCTGCTGCACTGTGGCCTGGATCATAACTCTTTGCTCCTGTATTTTGTCTATGTTCCTCTTGCCGAATACTATAGAACAAACATTGTTCTTCACAACACAGTTCCTCCTCTTCCTCTCCATCCAGTTGTTTTGTCTTGTGGCTGTTCTCAGAGCTCTGAAGCAGTCAGGACCAGGTGAGAGAGGGAGAGAGAGAGAGGAGGAAAACCACATAAAGAGAAGGGCTTTTAATGTCATTCTAATATCTACTGTCAATATTTTCTTCATATATGCCCCATATACTATAACAGGACTCTTTAACATTGTGACAAAACAGAATTTCCGTGTACTTTGGTGTATTTGTACATTTTGTTTTTTGATGGCTGGTTTTGTTCAGCCTGTTCTTTATCTGTACCATGCTGAAAAACTAACGTGCCTCTGTTACTCAAAAGTTATGTAATTAATTCTTATTTATTATTTTTATTTAACAACAACTTTTATAACAGTATAGATTTTTATAACAGTAGACATTTTAAATTGTTGTTCCAGTTGAATTGAAATGGTAAATGTATCCTCCCAGAAAAAATAAATATATATATATATATATATATATATATATATATAAAGATTTTTTTATGAAATCGTTTATATCATTTATACAATCGTGTTTAGACTGGAAGTAAAAATATATTTTCCAAGTATTTAGCAAGTAATATCCGTGTACTAGTGCTATACTTTTACCTGTATGTGTACTACTTCAATACTTCTTGGGAGTAAGATGGATAACATGAGCATGAACATTTAACAATGAGCATTTCAGCAAGAAAAAGTAACTAACAATGGGTAGTGTATGTGTGGCCGCTGTTCCAAAATGTTATTTATTTATTTATTTATTTATTTATTTATTTATTTATTTATTTATTTATTTATTTATTTATTTATTTATTTATTTATTTATGTTTTCTTTTAATTTAAAAACATGGTTGGTACATTTAGTTATGCTTTACAATGATATAACCATGTGAAATTTAAATAAACACAGTTTGAGTTGTTGATACCATATGTCTCTGTTATTGAAGTCATTTATTGTAATGGCCTTGAAAACAAGTACATTCAGCATTGTGTTAAAAAAGTTCCCCAAGAAATTCTGTCTTCACTAATTCAGGTAACACATTTAAAATACTGAATTGTGTAAGACAGTGTAATGTTTAAAGTATATTGTACAAAGTATAGCTAAGTAATATATATATATATATATATATATATATATATATATATATATATATATATATATATATTAATGTGCTTTTGTTATTGAAGACAATTTTGTTATTGTTATCCTGATGCCTTTATAATCGGGACACTTCAGGTGCACATTTAAAACAGGCAATAATGTATTTAGCCTATGCAGTTCAGGACAGTATGCGTTTTCATATCATTATTAAGTAATGAATATGTTGACTATGCTGCATTAGTAGAGAACATCATCATGTTTGCCGTCAAGGCTGAGAGGACGCTAACATTATGATGTTTGTGGTACGTGTATAATGACACAATCAGTAAATGAGTGGCCAAAACAATGAGCTATTGTGCCCGCCTATTCCTTTCGTTGCTTTGAACTATTGTCAAGTCAAGTCATCTTCACAATTGTTAACAAATGTTCCAAAGCAGGGTTGCAGCCCATTCTCACCCCCAAGTAGTCACCTAACTGACGCCTTGGGAAGCATTTTGACCATGCTTCAATATCTGACGCTTTAGGCGCCCTTTAGCGTCAGTTAGATGACGCCCTAGTATCGATTTTAACCCTACCCCTACCTAAAGGGCGCCTCAAGGCCAATTTATACTTCTGCGTCGAGGGTACGCTGTAGTGTAGGCGACGCCATTGTGAGCATACTTCTGAGTTCAGGTCTTGGTTGCTCCGAAACGCTAGTTGGCGGCGGAGGGTTTTAATGTTCCACTGTGTTTAGATTCCTCGCGGCTAGGTTACTACAAGCAATAGCGACTGAAAGAGAGCGGATCATGTTGGAGTTGGAGCTTATTGAAGTGGAAAAACAGTTCATTTTAGTGAAATTACTAACTGAACGGCAGAAATGAGAGAAGACGTCGGAGGAGATGGTACGTGCGGAAATGCGTAGGAGGAAATACGATGCTACCAAACCAACCAATCACTGATCTTGCGGTCCGCGTTGACGCGACGTGTAGTTACATTTTTGAGGAGGTGCACGTCAGGCTACGGCGAAGGGTACACAATATGGGACGCGTCTATGCGTATGCTACGCCGTACCTACTGCGCGCACCCTACGCAGAAGTAGTAAATTGGCCTTAAAGCGTCAAATATTGAAGCATGGTTAAAGGTGACGCCTTGGGAGAATGCGTTGCAATTAAACAACCGTGTAGAATTACAGCTTGTGATGCATTTGTTTAATGATGATGTCACTTAAAATTCACTGGACATGAAATTATTTTAAAATTCTAAAGATCTGGTAAAATCAATGTTTGGTTTTAAATTATGAGTGTGTACGACTGGGGTGTATTGAAGATTTTAAGAACACAAGGAGGAATTTGACAACTCTACAGTGAACTTCATCACTGAATCATCCACATCATATTCATTTGAGCCATTGGACATTTTTGAAATGTATGCATGCAGTTTAAGTTTCCAGTTTGGTCTTCTACTCACTCCTATGTTATATGGCTCATCATCACCACAGTGGAGTTGCATCAGTGTTCTTTAAACTCAATCTGTCCGTTTGTGAAATTGCTATCTGTGTGACTAGTTATTTTTTTTTTTTTTTTTTTTTTTTTTTGAGTTTTTGGTTTTCAAGTCTAACAACATTAATTTGTTTTTAATAGGACTAAGCATCACTGGTCATCCTATGTTTCAGTCTCTGATGTGTGTTGAGCGTTACCTGGCAGTGGTTCATCCTGTAACCTTTCTTAAGTTCAAACCTCTCAGATATAGAGTGATCTGCTGCACTGCGGTCTGGATCATAACTCTCGGCTCCTGTATTTTCTTTATGTTCTTACTGAATATTATAAAATAAACATGATTCTTCTCAACATTCCTCATCTTCTTCTCCATCCAGTTGTTTTTTATTGTAGCTGTTCTTAGAGCTCTGAAGCAGTCAGGACAAGGAGAGAGAGAGAGAGGAAAACCATCCTGCCTCTGTTCCTCAAAAGTTACAGTATGTAACTAATCCATATTTATTGTATTTTGTTTTTCTAATCAATACCTTCTACAACAGTATAATGCATTTGTTGCAATGTTTACAAAACGCTTTTTGTTTCAAAATACATTAATTTAAATGTATTATTATTTATGAATAATTATTAATATTGAATATGTACTCTTTATTTTCCAGTGGAGTCCACAAAAGAATAAAAAAAAAAAAAATCACACATTTTCTCAGATATATTCAAATGTTTTAAAACATTTTGCATGAACATCAATCATTTTCAACCATGCATTTGCATATGTTTTGTTTTATGTGACATCCTTGATATATCATTGCAACAACTTTGAAGTAAGACTACAAAAACAGGACAGTATTTTTTTTTTTTTTTTTTACACCCAGAGAGACTGGACATTCACTCTTCAGGTGACAAACTCTCCCTTTTGACTTAATTTGTGTATACCATTGAGTGACATACAAATAAATAAATAAATAAATACATGTAGCAGACTGCTTATGAATTAGCTGTTGAGTAAAACATGGAGATGTGTTTTGTTTTGAGACAATAGAGAGTTGTTGTTGTTTTGTTTTTTTTGTGCAGACTTATTTATCATACTTACTCTTTTATCGTCTTATATTATTAGTATTCAATCTGTGAGATTTTCAAGACAAGAAGATGAATGACTCTACAGTGAAGTTCACCTAAAGCATCGTCAAACTCCACTGCTCATACCATTGAGCTTATAGAAAGTCTAATTGTGTCCAAAGCAAAACTAAACACTAAAGCAAAACTTACAGGTTGCATGTCAAGGACCTCTGTGCCTCTGTGGTGGGTCTGAAGCCCTTTCCTCCTCTCATGTAACATTAGATGGATAGGGGAAGCCAAGTTTGCAGGACCTTCAAAGCTGTCTCCCCTTTAGCAGCTAAACAATATGAGCATAATACATAAAGTTGCATTAACATTTAAATAGTATGCTGAATATAACAATTCATATTTCTAAAGTAGCATTTCTGAATTTTCTTTTCTCTGTTGTGTATATAGCAAAAACGATTATTTGGCCTCAAACATCGCGCACACTTGGTCCATGACCACTGCCTTAATACTAAGTTATTCCTAGTAGGCCTAACGTTACCCGAGGTCTTAACAACTTGTAATGGGTTTTCAGAGCAAAAACATGCTTAAAGGAGGAGTTCAATTTAAAAAAAAACAAAAAAAAAAAACTTTTGCTGATAATTTTACTCACCGCCATGTCATCCAAGATGTCCACGTCTTTCTTTCTTCAGTTGAAAAGAAATTAAGGTTTTTGATGAAAACTTTCCAGGATATGGACTTCATTGGGAACCAAACGGTTCAAGGTCCAAATGAGAGTTTCAGCGTAGCTTCAAAGGGCTTTAAACGACACCAGACGATGAATAAGGGTCTTATCTAGGACCCTTCGAGTCATGACTTGAAAAAAGATTTGTTCGTTTTGATGAACGAGTTTGAACAGGAGAGTCACGAACGCTCATCACAGAACAGAACAAGGCGAGCATTTGTGCTTATAAAACAAATTGGTTGCCTAACCTCGGTTCTCTCTAGATGAGGGAATGAGTATTGCGTAAGTTAACTTACACTACGGGAAAGATTAATCATTTCTGAGATATTGAAGCCAAAAAATTATCCTTAATTTTTCTATACATTGTCAAAAATTAACCTCTCGTAAGGGAACTTAAACTTTTTTATTTATTTTTGAAATGACCAATCGTTTCGCTAGATCCTCATTCATCGTCTGGTATCATTTAAAGCCCTTTGAACCTGCATAATTGCACCGCAGCGCCACCACACCTTGACGCTCGTGACAAGAATAGCATGTATAGTTATCTTCATTGAAGTAAATTAGGTTTAAATCGCCGTCATGCATGAATGAATGATATGTTTGCTATTTTACACATAATAACCCACTATAATCGCATAAACTGAAATTGCACGTCAAAATAATACATTGTCAAAAAAATATTGAGACCCCCCAAAATTTCACATATCACGTTTTCGTAGTTCGCACCCTGCCAATATGCTCAAATTTATGGGGTGTGTCGATCTTTCATCAAGAGGGGAAGACTGTGAGAACCGCCTCCTTCAAGGCTTGGTACATTTTTAGTTTAAATACATGTATCCCCAATGGAATGAATGACGAAATGTCATAAGCTGTTTCCTGTAAACATAATACTAGTATGTGTATTCTATGTTGATTCTAAGTATGTACAACAGCCTTTGTCTTTCATTAATGGACTGATTGAAACATTGGGAACGTGCATAAATATATAATTATTGGTTGATGTGAATGGGTGTGTCAACTGGTGTGGGTATCAGATTGAGTATATAAGATTCTTGTTATCTTATTGCACACTGAAGCACGTTTGTGCAAAATAAACAGTTTATGCATATTGCGGACTCTTTCCTGCTTATATATTCTAATCATCAGGCTAGCATTCTTAAAAATTTAAGTGCAATCATTGAGTGAAGCCTGCTCCTATCTCCATTTAAATTTATATGAACAATTTTGAATAGTATAATGTTGTCTTTATCATATATGGCAAACAAAGAACATTCGGTAATAATAACAGTGTATTGTGTGTCAGAAGGTATATATATATATATATATATATATATATATTATACACATATACCTTCTGACACATTTCTATTGACGTTATATCTCTATTGACGTTTACACAAGATTGTCTGTCTTTTTTAACCTCCTGATTTTCACTTGAAATATTTGCATAGATGGTGTTTGTGATGTTTAGAAAATGAAATTGTATACACCTATACACAGGGGACATCTGTGAAGTGACTATATAACAGCAGGAAGCTTTATGTCAATCCAGAGAGACGGAACATTAATTCTCCAGGTGACAAACTCTGTTCATACTTTGATTTACTGTCTTTGTGTCAGCTTCATAATATATAACAAGGTCACTGTGACACACAGGGTACAGGTTATGTCGAGCATGCTAGATGAATTAGTTGAGTAAAAATAAGTTTGATCTTTGGAAAAAAGTAACAGAAATTTTGACTTTCTATTTGAACTTAAGCCATGAAAGTTAACAACATGTTTCAAATTATTATATAGCATTGTATTTAAAACTAGAATGCATTTATTTTCTTTGTATAGTTTAGGTATTACGTTGGATTATTACAATTGCTTACAATAATCATGTGTAATTTTGCCTTTAGATTGTCTTGGAACATTTGCTCTTGTTTTTTTTTTTCCATAGATCACAAATCCAACATTGTTCCTTTGTTCTTGTGGTTCTGACTGAAAAAAGTAGACATGACAAACTTCAGCACACCTGCCAACATCACACTAACACCATTTTGGAAAATAGACATAGTAGAAACTTGTATGTTGACCTTTCACTTCATATCTGGTCTTCCAACAAATGTCTATGTTATGTGGCTCATCATGACGGGAACAGGAAGCGGAGTTGCATCAGAGTTCTTCAACCTCAATCTCTCTGTTTGTGGGATCTTTGTCTCTGTGAACGGTTTGCTCATTCTAGTCTCAAAATGGTTTCCATTTCAAAGTCTCACAGCATTAACACAGTTTTTCTATGGACTTACTGTCACTGGTCATCCTCTGTTTCAGTGTCTGATCTGTGTTGAGCGTCACCTGGCAGTGGTTCATCCTGTAACCTTTCTGAAGTACAAACCTCTCAGATATAGAGTGATCTGCTGCACTGTAGTCTGGATATATATATTTGGCACTTGTTTGTTCTGCATGTTTATTTTTATCTCATATACCATACATATGTATATATGGTTCTGCTCACTGCAGTTCCTCCTCTTCCTCTCCATCCAGTTGTTTTGTCTTGTGGCTGTTCTCAGAGCTCTGAAGCAGTCAGGACCAGGAGAGAGCAGGGGAGTGAGAGAGGAAGAAAACCAAATGAAGAGAAAAGCGTTTTACATCATTCGAGTAACTACTGCTAGCTTGGTTGTCACATATGTTCCATTTATTGCTACTGGTTTGCATTTTATTGTGACACTGAAGTTCATTCAGATTCTTTGGTCAATTAGTTACATCTGTTTTATGCTGGCTGGTTTTGTTCACCCTGCACTTTATCTGCACCGGACTGGAAAACTCTTCTGCTTCTGTTCTAAAAATTAGTAATCATATTATCGCATATTATCATTGAGTACTGATTGCTGAGCTGATTGCTACATGGCTACAACAAATAAATAAATGCATAGACAATCTGAGTTATTGTAACCTTTAGAGACTGCAGAGGCATGGCATGGTAATTAAGCTTAATCTCGGCTGTCATCATTTGGAAATATTTAACTGTTGGATGCTGCAATTGACAAATCATAGTCATGTTCTCTAGAGAGCCCTATTATACTGTAAAAATTATGCTGGATTTAATTTAGAATAAAAAAAAATATGTTATATGAAATGAGCTAAATATGAAACTTTGATGAATAATTTTAGCTGATACCTGAGATTTTGGGGTAACACTTTACAATAAGGTTCATTAATTGACATTAGGTAATGTATTACATGAACTAACAATGATCAATACATTTGTCACTGTATTAGTTAATCTGTTAATGTTAGATACAGCTGTTCATCATTTGTTCATGTTAGTTCACAGTGTAGTAAGTAATGTTAATTAATACAACCTTTGATTTTAATATTGTATTAGTAACTGTTGGAATTAATATTAACTAAGATTAATAAATGCTTTAGAAGTATTGTTCATTCTTATTGTTCACTCTAAGGTAGTTAACTAATGTGTTATCGATTTTGAAATGTTTGCGATAATTTAGGGGTTCTTCTGCATTATGAATCATATATTCTGCTGTTTATTGATAAGAAGTTTAAGGGTAATATAACAGTCCCAGCGTCTTTGCACCGGCCAAGCTACATTTCCAAAGGGTCAACTTGTTTGCAATGCTCAAATGGTCTCAGTTGAAAAAGATATAAAATAAACTCTTATACCAATGAGTGGAGGGTTTCTTTCTTCATATATTCAAAGCTCGTTCATTATCCAAAAACCCAATATATCACAGCACTTACACATGTATACAGAGACAGAATTAATTCATGAGCCTACATGTGGGTGGTATCGAAATGTCCAACACCATCCTCTGTGGTTCATGAACCCCAACAGTTCAGAAAATGAAAGAAACCAGTCTGATAGTTCGACCATACGTCATGCAAAGTTGGATAGTGATGAATTAGAAGGTTATCCAACTGTGGCGAGGTGGTGCGCAAAAGGATGTTTCCTAAGATAAGCAGCCTGGAAATACACAATAATAAAACTCTAATATGGTTTACATGGTAGCCAACTACACCACCTCAGGACTTTCACCCAAGGATGTAATATTAAAACAGGTTAGTTCCTACCAAGGAGGACTGAGACAGTTCTGACAATTAAAAGCAATTTATAACAAAATTATTTTCACATCAAGAGACAACACATTCACTAATAAATACCTTTCAGACATTCACCTCTTAATTACCCACAAATGTTAATACAAGAAAGGTATTTTTATATCAATAAGAACAAATATATAAATACTGGGTGTTAATTTAAGACATTAACAGAGAAAGGAATCCCTGACCCACCTTGTAAGTAATCACTCATTAGACTGCACCCACACACAGTGACCCTCACTACAAAGGCAATGAAACCAATCCATACTCCAGTGTGTTGAACACTACACCCCAAAAGCGGGTGGGCCAAATGGTCTTTCACAAGTGTCTCAGAGAGAAACCCACAGCACTTAAAATGAAGGTTCCCTGAAAGAACTCACAACACAGTAACAGCAACACATTTAAAATAAAGACAAAACAGCAGTGTAGTCTGGGTCCGTGTGTCCTGCTGATTACAGAGCTCCCAGCACGCTGTTAGACGCGACCCCAACGGCATCAGAACAAAGTACTACATATAAAATCACTGTTGCAACATGCTCTCACTGCACTGCAACAACAGAGATTGGAGAAATAAATAACCCATACTACACGACTCCATCCAAATTATCACTTTCACAGATTAAGGCTGTACTAGGTGTCTTTCCATTTTTTTAAATTAATTTGGTTTAAAATTAATTCTAGGTTAAATTTACCTAGAATTTTCAAAAAGTAACCCATAAGTCATGATTATCCAAGTCAAGTCAACTCACCTGGATTTTTATAGCACTTTTTTTCAATGCAGATTGTTTTTAAAGCAGCTTTACAGAGATAACAGGAAATTAATGTTGTAATAATATTGTTAAATGTAAAATTAAATGTCTCCAACTAAGCAAGCCAAAAGCCAATGACAATAAATGCAAAGAAAGGCGAAAAAATGTGACAGTGGCGAGGAATCAAAACTCCATCAGGTGACAGAATGGGGGAAAAAACCTTGGGAGAACCTAGTTCTCATCTGGCAAATGAATGAACACTGTATGGTTACTAAAATTAGAGTAGATGCCATTATTTTTACAATGTAGCAAGTAAATCAAGTGTTTTTTGTGCATGTTACATGGTGCTTCATTTGTGTATGCGTGTGTGTGTTGAAATGGAAATGGCCTGTACATTAAGCCATGCATGATAATTGATGCATTTTTTTCCATCTGTGGTGTGCATGTGTTCCTTTTGGCTTCTGAAGTTGAGTACCATAGCCTTAAAAATGCATTATTTCCACTTTTTTGCATAGCTGATGTACCGTGTGATGGTTAGAAGGTAAAATCATGCACAAGTATTTGTGTACATACAATTACATCTGTAATCTCTGAGCTTCCAGACTGAGCATTCAATCTTCAGGTGACATACTCCTCTTTTTAATTCTAAATCATAATTGAGGATAAATGTAAAACAATATACAATATAGTATTGTTGTTATCAAAAAAATAAAATAAAAAGGGTTATGGGGAGGTTAGATTAATTTTGCTATGGAGATCTGTTTTTGTCATGAAGTGTTTTTTTAGGTGAAGTAAATTACTTGAAACCCATATTGTTTTAATTACCAGAATTATAGCATAATTTAGAGGGATTTTACATTGAAGTCAAATTCCAATTCTGCTTCAGTGTACATTAATTTTACCCTTTTAGGTTGTGAGATCTGACCACTATAACCTCGAACTTTGCACTTATCTCTGTAGATCAAAATTGCAATTTTTATTTCAATATTTATTTTTGGTGTGAGAAGATTGAAGAGGAAGACATGAGTTACTCTGCAGTGAACTTCACCATACATGAAGCATCTACCAACCCTACAAACACTGAAATTGACATCCTAGGATCGTGTCTTTTTGGCTTCAGTTCCTTGTTTGGTCTTCCTACACACTTCTATGTTATATGGCTCATCTTGACGGGAACACAAAGCGGAGTTGCATCAGAGTTCTTCAACCTCAATCTCTCTGTTTGTGGGATCTTTGTCTCTGTGAACGCTTTGCTCATTCTAGTCTCAAAATGGTTTCCATTTCAAAGTCTCACAGCATTAACGCAGTTTTTCTTCGGACTTACTGTCACTGGTCATCCTCTGTTTCAGTGTCTGATGTGTGCTGAGCGTTACCTGGCAGTGGTTCATCCTGTAACCTTTCTAAAGTACAAACCTCTCAGATATAGAGTGATCTGCTGCACTGCGGTCTGGATAACCACTCTTGGATCATGTTTGTGCTGCATGCTTGGTCTTCTTCTTATGTTTACTGTTTACACGTTTATGTGGTTCCTCTCAATTCAATTCATAGTCTACCTCTCCATTCAGTTGTTCTGCTGTGTGGCTGTTCTCAGAGCTCTGAAGCAGTCAGGACCAGGAGAGAGAGGGAGAGAGAGAGAGGAGGAAAACCACATGAAGAGAAGAGCGTTTCATCTCATTGTAATAACTACTGTGAACACAGTTATCACATATGCTCCTTTTACAATAACTGGATTGATATCTGCTGTGTCAGAGCAGCGTTTTCACATTTTTTGGGTTCTTAGTAATATTTGTTTTTTGTTGGCTTATTTAGTTCCGCCAATTCTTTATCTGCAACGAAATAGAAAACTTCCCTGTCTCAGCTTCTGTAACATGTAGAGTTAATTAGACCTTGTATCATTACCCATGTCACATGTCCTGATTACCCTGTCCACATTTGATAAAAGTGTGATACAATTCAACGCATTCTCACCCCAAGGCGTCACCTTTGACCATGCTTCAATATTTGACGTTTTAGGCGCCCTTTAGCGTCACTTACATGACGCGATCCTACGGCGTCATCTAACTGACGCTAAAGGAAAGCGTCTGTTAGAGGACGCGGTTAGGTTTAGGTGTGGGGTGGGGGTAGGGTACACGCGATCCTAGGGCGTCATCTAACTGACGCTAAAGGGCGCCTAAAGCGTCAGATATTGAAGCATGTCCAAATGCTTCCCAAGGCGTCAGTTAAGTGACGCCTTGGGGGTGAGAATGGGCTGCACAATTGTGACTATTGGTGTCTTCACAATAGCAGGTATGATTGTATAGCCTATATATAAACACTCTGTGACTGCTCTCTGTTAGTGTGGATCATTTGAATAAGTGAACCGTCCCAGGACGTTTATCCTTGTAAATTTTCTGAATATGTGTGTGTGATCATTGTGTTTCCCTGCTTCACAACAGCATACTGGGAAGTGTAATTTTTGTCTGTTTTCCTGTGGTCCTCCTCATCAGAGTCTGGGAAGAAGAGCTTCCATTTTACCAGTGGGAACTGACTCTTGACCAGAGAGAACATGGCCTGTCCAATTTCCCAGACTTTGTTGAATGTTGCATGCTCTAATGCTTCTTAATACTGTCTTATAACCCCATTTTTGTTGCCTATAGCTGCATTAGGGAGGTGGGTGCCCCTTTTGTTTGCCAACACTTGTTTTTTTTTTGTTTTTTGTTTTCCTGGTTTTGGGTTAGTAATGGTCAACGAAGATATCTGTTGTTCATTTACCTGCTATGGATAGATAGACGTGGGCAGATCAAGCTAAACATGCATAAAAGCACCTTTTACAAATCTATAATTATTATTATTTATTTTTTAAATTAAAAAATTTCAAACCCAGTTATCTTATACGATTAGTGTCAAGTGTCTGTTCTTTTATTAATTGTCAGGGTTTGTTGTGTTTATTCTATGAATGGTCATCCCTCTATTCATAAAATTTAAAGGAAAATTAAATACAACAAACATTGAGTATAACAAAGCACACTTTAATAATGTATAAACCTAAACCCCAAATGAGTGGCTTCTTCACAATGGCACCATAAAGGTGTTCTAGAATCATTCCACTGAAATCCAACAATGTGTTCAGTGAGGTTCATTTAATTTCACACAACCTAAAATATAGATTGCAATATTTCAGATCAGAAATATTGACAGCATCATTTACTAGAACAGCATCATTGACTGCTCAACTTGTGTTCTGTCTCACTGAATTCTATAGAATAGTCCCCTGATCATTATAACAAAATGAGTTGCAAATCACATTATATAAATTTAAGTAACTCAACAAAATGTCAGAGGCAGGTGTTTTTTTGTGTGTGTGTGTTTTTTTTAGTTTTCTTGGTCACGGAAGCAAAATAGTTTTCCAGTCCGATGCAAATATTGAACAGGCTGAACTAAATCAGCCAGCATGAAACAAATATAACTAATTGACCAGAGGATTGGAAAATTCATAGCTGTCAAAATAGTGATTAATCCAGTAATAGTAAAAGGAACATATGTGATAGCCAGGCTAACAGTAGTTATTAGAATGAGATAAAATGCTCTTCTCTTCATGTGGTTTTCCTCCTCTCTCTCTCCTCTCTCTCTGTTGGGACAGGCGGCGAAAAGCAAGGCCCAGTAACAATCCAGTCAAGGTAGGTGGAGAACAATCAGAAACAGTGCACACAGTCCAAGGTCAAGGTAATAAACAAGAAATGACTTGTCTATAATAAATCATAAATAACAGTGCTTTGCATCTGCGGCTTAAATGTGTTTTACTTGGGATCCAGTGTTGTACAATATGGTTAAAAAACTCATTATTGCCCCTTACTATTTGCATATGGTGTCCTGTGCATTTTTATCATTTAAATCATGCACATGTACTTATGACAGCTGTGAAGTTAGACTATAAAACAGCAGTGAAGTTTATTTTAACCCAGAGAGACTGGACATTCACTCCTCAGGTGACTTGCTCTTCTTTTCAGTTTTAATAATTCATAACAATTAGATCAGTCAGTTGGGGTTATAGGGGTTAGGTGGATTGGTTACTGCAGGGGTGTCCAATCCTGCTCCTGGAGAGCCACTGTCCTGAGGTTCAGGTCCAACCCCAATTAAACAGACCTGAACCAGCTCACCAAGGTCTTACTAGGCATACTATACACCTCTATGTATGTATGTTGAGGAAAATTGGAGGAAAACTCTGCAGGACAGTGGCCCTCCAGGACTGAGTTTGGAAAAGGGTCTGAGCTCTTATAATTAATATTAATATTCTTATTGAATTGACATAACATTTTATTTCAAGCACATACCTCGAATTATTGATGTCATTTTTTTCTCTCTCTCTCTCTCTTTAGATTTCAGTTGCAAAATCATTTATACATAATATTTGAGTTTGTTGACTAAGAAGACCGACCAGAAGAAAATGAACAACTCTGCAGTGAACTTCACCACACCTGAAACATTCACCGACCTCACATCATCATTACTTCATGAAACGGAAATGCTAGAATGTTTTACATCAGGCTTCAATTTCATGTTTGGTTTTCTCATACACTCCTATGTTTTGTGGCTCATCGTCAACGGGACAGGAAGCAGCGTTGCATCAGATTTCTTCAACCTCAATCTCTCTGTTTGTGAGATAATGTTCTCTCTGAATTGTTTATTAAGTATGGTGGTAAATGTCATAAGATTTCAAGGATTCACAACATTACCACCATTTTTACAAGGACTTGCATTCACTGGCCGTCCTCTGTTTCAGTGTCTGATCTGTGTCGAGCGTTACCTGGCAGTGGTTCATCCCGTAACCTTTCTGAAGTACAAACCTCTCAGATATAGAGTGATCTGCTGCACTGTGGCATGGATAATCATTCTTGGCTCTTGTTTGTTCTGCACGTTTACTTCCATCTCAGATGTGTTTTACATATATTCATGGTTTTTCTCCATTCAGCTACTACTTTTCCTCTCCATTCAGTTGTTTTGCCTTTTGGTCATCCTTAAATCTCTGAAGCAGTCAGGACCAGGAGAGAGAAGAAGAGAGAGAGAGGAGGAAAACCACATGAAGAGAAGAGCGTTTATTATTATTCTAATAACTACAGTGAGCATGATTATCATGCTTGTTCCATATACTATTGCTGGACTTGTCACTGCTGTGAAACAATTTTATTCAGCTCTTTGGTTTATTAGTTTTATGTGTTTTATGCTGGCTGGTTTTGTACAGCCTGTTCTTTACCTGCACCGGACTGGGAAACTATCCTGCCTCTTTTCTTTCATAAAACTAAAATAGTGATAATTTGTTGAGTTAGGCTACTAAGCACCAACAAAAGTGTGTTTGATTTAACTCTAAACTACATACCCCTGGTTTCACAGACAAGGCTTGAGTCTAGGACCACACTAAATGCATAATTTAACTTTTGTTTTGTTTAACTGAATGCTGCTTGCACATCCTAAAATATGTTAGTGTCATTGTTTTGTCTCAACACCAGTATTTTCTTTTCTAAGGCAGGTTAAAAATAAATAAATAAAAAAAAAACGTATTTGATTTTGTTTGACATTTACTACGTAAATGTCCTAATTGAACTATGGCCTAATACTGGCTTATTCTAAGCCGTGTCTGTGAAACCAGACCTTTGTTAAAACAGTAATTTTATTTATTTATTTATTGTTGGCTCTGGATTTTCAAATTCATAGTGAAGACTAAAGTATGTTGTGTAATCAGATTGACTGCCAGCCAGTTGGCCTCCCAGACCACATTATTTGTTGCACATTTCTTTGTTTTTCTCCTCTGCGCTTTTACTGGGATAGCATGATTCGCTTTTACTGGGATAGCTGGATGATTTGGTTAATTGTCTTTGTGACGTTAAAACACGTTTCAGTTTATTGAATTTGACATTTGTACATCTGCTGAGAATAAGTGTTTTTATTATTATTATTATTATTATTATTATTTTTATAAATTCTCATTTATTGTGATATTAGTGCTAGGGAATTATTGAATGACTTAATATTTCCAGTCCAGTTCCTAAATACAAAGATTTACTGTTTCAAAGCCATCTAATTATTGCACTGAGGACATCTGCTGGTTAAGACCTTGTACTGTAAATGCAACGGGAACACATGAAAACCTAAAAAAGTCCTATTAAGCAACTGAAAATGCAATTTATGTAAGTAAATACTAATACATAAAAAATAAATGTGTGATAAGCAAAGTATTTGATTGATTTATAAACTAGTTTTTTTAAGATCTTTGGAAAATCTACTAGTTTTTAAAATTCGGATAACTTATAAACTTAATCGGTTGCAATAGGCTCATTTAATACTGATTCACTGTGTAACACTTTCCAGTTCTTACCCAGCGCTGTTTGGTGGGTTCTTGGCTTTGTTCTGTTAATTGGGTTATCACCACTAAGAAGAACACTGACAAGGAGCTCCGTTATTACAACACTTGTTTTAATGAACCCTTAAAAACTTAAGTGAGCCCTTAAATTACACTTCCTCCAATTGGTTCAGATCAAATCCTTAGTGTACATTTCTAAATGTCTCAAAGCAGTAAACAAGTAGTAGCTAAAATTCAGTTTTAGAATTTTAACACCAACACTGTTGTAATGAATAAAAAGAAGACTTCTTTGTTTTGTGAACTTTCCAAAAATACTTTTGAAAAAAATATTTTTTTCTTATGTAATTTAACAAGTTAGTATTAAAATTCCAGTATGCGCTTTTGGGTTCCCTGCGTCGGAAGGATCATAACAGCACCAGCTTCAGGTCTTCAGCAAGATATGTTGCCTTGTCTGTCTTATTTGGTGTTGTTTGTCAGTTTACACAAGCAGTTATAATGGCGAGTAAAACGATTTTCAGACAGTGTGTGTCCCCTTTCCCGCTTTACTTCAGCATGGTTAACACATTCGCTCTGTGTCATGTGTTTGGGAGTGGAGCATGCACAGGCAGTGCTCGAGGGTGCATGCACAGAATGCTGTTGAGATCATGGAACAAGCCGTTCTTGTCACAGTTATCGAGCTCAAACGTCCATATATATTTGTCTATTTTGGGTTAGAAAGAGAATGACTATGTGGAAGAGACACTGGCATTGTATCTTTCACCCAAGGCTGCGTCATCCCTCAAGGTTCCTTCGCTGCCCTCCAAGCCCTGCCGTACAAGCATTGGTGGTAAAAGCATGGTGGCAGGTCGGGCTGGTGCATGCCTGCACACAATGGGGATTATGCATACCAGGCCGACCTCCTATGCATATATGAACTCTGACCACTGATTCTTCACATGCTTGTCCCTGGACAATGGAAACAAGTGGCTGAACTGTCTTTGCAATGTAGAACACAGCGTCTTCTCGACATGATGCGATTCAGCTGAAGTTTTTGAATGTGCATGTTCTAGACGTCACTTCAAGTCTGCGCCCGCAGTTGTTGGGAGCGGCCAATGACCTCTCTAAGTCACGATGTAACAGCTAATGACTCGTTTCAAAAACAATTAATTTCATAGACTCAGAGTCGACTCTCATTTTTGAAAGACAATAACTTGATATACGGTGCACTTTTTAAATATAAACCTTTGCAGGATGTTTTCATTCCCTTAGACTCATATTCCACACTACATGAACAGTCATTTTTAAAAATCCATGATAGGGGCTCTTTAATACCCAAGCATTAAAATAGTTGGGCATTTGGGGATTAAACACATAAAATACAAACCGGTTTATTCCACAATCTCGACACCTCAGTGTGGAGATAAGGAAAAACCCACAGTCCCCGATGAGGAGGCTGAGATAAAGAGTTTTTCTGTTTTAAGATATTTCACCTAAAAAATGTAATCTATTTCATCTATCTTCTTTATTTCCAATCTCATAATGTTCAGCTAGACAAGAAATATTTAACTGGCAACAGCACAGATAAAGCCTTTAAAAAAATCTCCTCTTTGTTCAGCAGAGATATGAGCTGGCTTATTTATTTAGGCTATTCATTGAAAACTCAAACATCTGTCTTTCTCTTATTTTTATTTGTTTTGTACTCTTTTCTTTTTAAACAAAACACTAACGATACCAATTCCTCAGAAGTCAGAACTGGAAATTGCTAGAACTGGCATGTGAAAGCTGAGAAGGGGCAGAACCCGCCCCAACCCCCGCTGTCAGATTCGTTTGCGAACCCAGAACTGCGAGTCATCTCTGCGCCTCGGCAACAGAGAGACCCGCGTGGGGAACGCGAACCGAACCGAACCGTCCTCCTCAAAGAACGCCCGGCGGGAGCAGAGCACGGCTTCTCGCAATGCTCACAGTCAGCTCTCTCAAGAACTGACTGCTGGCATGCTCCACTCCCAAACAGCAACATATTAACTGATGTGCGTCCCCACCCGTGAAATAACGAGGGCAGGGAACAACACAACGTCTACAATCTTGCTTGCTAGCCATAAAGATAGATAGTGATATATATATATATATTGGGCATTGACAAACAACAATAAATAGACAAGGACATTTCACATGGAGCGCTTTCTGAAGGAACAGAAGCTGGCGCGGTCTGACTTCAGGGGTGCTTTATAGTTTCCTGGTCTATGACGTCACCCGCCTTGACGTTTTGGGCTTCCATTGGACTGATTTTACATGTGCTTCACGACGTAATCACACAGAGCATTCCCACCGCGTCCTAATGCAGCTCGAGGTTCCCTTGAAAGGGAACTTCAGTTATATTTATAGACATCAGAAAGGCCAAGCATTCAATCTTCAGGAGAAAAAGTCTTTCATTTTTTTTCCTTCTATTGTACTGAGCAGTAACACTTTACAATAAGGTTTCATTAGTTAACATTGGTTAAATTTAGTTAACATGGACTAAGAATGGACAATACTTCTATAGCATTTATTAATCTTAGTTCATGTTAATTTCAGCATTTGCTAACATTATTATTATCCCTTTATGGTACAGCGTTGCCATATGGAAACAATTAATATCCTTGTTATTCAGGGGGAAAAAAATACAATATATTAGGCTTAGGCTACTATGGGTATTAAAAGGGCAGGCCTTAAGGTAGCCAATGATGTGCTGTTTTTAAATCACATGACATTTGAATGTCCCCCTAAAACTTTCTGTCTCACTGTCACCATCACATGGAAGACGCCTGTTGAAGTGCTCCATTTCTAAACATCTCTTCTCAAAGGGGATTTTTTTGCAGCATCTTTGATAAGTAAATTAGATATTTTACTCACAAATCAACTTTGTCTAACATAACTTTCCTGTAAATTTCCAAAAATATCAATACTTCCTTATGGCAACGCTGTATACCACAATGAAATTGCAGTAATGTATTTTTATTTAATTTTGTTTTGTTAGTTTTTTTCAGAAAGTGAAAACAGCAATATTTTATGGAAAGGGTGGGCTAATAGGAAGAGTGAAAAAAATTGGGATTGGGTTAAATCTTTTTTTCGCATCCGTAGCAAGCATTTTGACTGGTGTTTTGACAATTCTGAGCCACCAAATGAAGAATACAAAAAAAAAAAAAATATATATACATTTATGACTCGGTATGCAAGGACCTTTAGCCAAATTTTTGGGAATGACAGGGATTAGGGTTAGTGTTATAGGATTATGACAGGGATCTACTATTATTTATAATATATAAAAAAATATATCTATTTTTGGTGTGCATGAATTCCATATAAATCTATCAATTTCTAAAATAAAAGAAAAATCTAAATTTTATAGAAAAAACAGCTTTTTTGACCATTTTCCATTGTGTTACAGTGTTGCCACAACATTTCCCAAAGTACGAAAAAAATAAAAAAAATAAAATAAAGTAAAATAAATAAATAAAAACATTTTAAAAAAGATTTAGGCTATTTAATAGCTATCTAATATTTAATTTATTTAATTTAAATTAGAGTTAACAATTTATTTAAAATCCAACATAAATTAATGATGTAAAGATCTGCACACCAAGGTTACAAAATTAGAATCGTATTTCCTTGTGTGATTTAAACGACATCCATGTAGTCTGAACAATAATCTCCCTTGTATATTGACACTTTTTTCATAATTGACAATTACAAGGTTTATTTATTTATTTATTCATTTATTTGTGTTTTTCTTTTTTTTATAGGAATGGAATTAATGAATGGCTCTATAATGAACTTCACCACACCTGAAGCGTCAACCAACCCAACGGAGTCTGAACATCGATTGATAATAGTCATTTTTGTACTGGGCTTCCATTTCATGTTAGGTCTGTTTACACATTCTTATGTTATATGGATCATCGTCAGAGGAACAGCAAGTGGACTTGCATCAGAGTTCTTCAACCTCAATCTCTCTGTCTTTGAGGATGTTCTGTCTCTGAATTCTTTATTTGCTTTGTTGGCCATACGATTTCCAAGCCTTAATATAATTTCACATTTTTTAGTGGGACTTTCCACCACCGGTCGTCCTCTGTTTCAGTGTCTGATCTGTGTTGAGTGTTACCTGGCAGTGGTTCATCCTGTAACCTTTCTGAAGTACAAACCTCTCAGATATAGAGTGATCTGCTGCACTGCGGCCTGGATAATTATTATTGGATCCTGTTTGTTCTCCATGATATTTTTAGTCTTTCTCAGTGAAATGGCACATACATGGTTCTATACTCTGCATTTCCTCCTCTTCTTCTTCGTTCAGATGTTTTTCCTTGTGGCTGTTCTTATAGCTCTGAAACATTCAGGACCGGGAGAGAGAGGGCAGGAAAACCCCATAAAGAGAAGGGCATTTTATCTCATTCTGTTAACTACTATTAACTTGTCTATTATATATGTCCCAACTGCTATCGCGGGGCTCCACAAGATTGTGACTAAAGGGGATATCCCAGGTCTCGATATGAGTAGTCAAATTTGTTTTATTCTGGCCGGTATTGTTCAGCCTGTTCTTTTTTTGCACCGGAATGGAAAACTTCCCTTTATAACTTTAAAAAGACATTGCTGCTAAACCTAAAATGATACAGAAAAAACTCACTAACATGACCAAAATACATATCAATTGGCTAGTTTTGTCATGTGCATGCATGCTTCAACTGTGAAAGATTAGCTTTTTCCATAAAGTTAATTCAAATAATGGTTTAAAACATAAACTGTAAAAAGAAATCTGTGAAATTTACAGTTAAAAATGGCAGCTGCGGAAGCCAGAACCATAAAAAAAAAAAAAAAAAAAAAAAAAAAAAAAAAATATGGTAGTAACAGTTTAGGTTTTATGGATTTAACTTAAATTTACTGACATATGGACGTACAAGGAGAGCAAGGCAAGGCAAAGCAAGTTTATTTATATTGCACATTTCATACACAATAGTAATTCAAAATAATCAAAATAAATAAGAATAATTAAAAGCACAAAAAGAATACTAAAAAAGGCTAAGTTTGTTAAGCTACTTCAGACAGATGTCCTAACTCGAACTCGAACAACTTCTTATAATGTGATGAACAGTAATGTGCTTGTTACTCCAAAAAGCCAAAAACGTACTTTACTAATTTGTTATTCGTTATTACACCCCACAAAATTTATCTTTGTTGCTGTATGTCACTATGTAGCCCACTATGAGAAAGTAGGTGCTCTACTAAGTAAAATAAGTTCAAAGCAAAGCAAATGAAAGCAGAAATAAAATAATAAAAAAATGGTGAACTATCCCTTTAAATATATTTGGAAAAATAATCCCTTTTCAACTGTAGGCTATAAATACAGAGAATGATTAAACTAATAAAAATAAAAATAAAATAATTAAACGAATTTCCGTAAAAAATGTCCAGAGCTGATTAAATGCCACATACAGTGACACTAAACAATGCCATGGTTTGTGAATTTGCTGTTCATCAATCAATCAATCAATCAATATAATTTTCTCTGATACTGAGATGCACATAGGCTATTTATAGAAAAACATTACGTTTTCCATGCAAATAATACATAAAGAGGGCTATCTATCTTTTTAACTTTTTTTTTTTTTTTAATTTTGCATATTTGGTTTATTAGGACGTGCAGCCTATAAACCTATCCAGCTCAGATATTTATACAAACCCAGAGAGACTGAACAGGTGATCTTCAGGTGACAATAAACCTTTCTGAATCATTTCAGTTTTTCTGCTTAATAATATATTACAATAATTACATGATGATGCATTTTGTAAGTATTATTGGCATTGCTAGAAATTATAAGATTTTCATTATAAACATGGTTATGAAATTTAACAATGTAGATTAACTGAAGACCGTCAAGTCTTGTGAAAATTTGAAAGTAGACTACCTTAATGTCTTGCTTTTTTTGAGTATTTTACTCTTTGACCTGTGAAATGCATATTATTTTACGCTATGCTAACAGATTTCCACTTCTTCATTCCCATTGCAATTTTTTTTTATCCTATGAACTAAGCAGAAGAAGAAAAAATGAACTCCACACTTGAAGCATCCACAAACTCCACAGCCGTGCCACACTACATTTTTTCAGAGAGCAATACAGACGTGTGTGTGTACGCCATTAATTTCATGTTTGGTGTACCTACACACTCCTATATTATATGGCTCATCATCACAGGGACAGGGAATGGAGTTGCATCCGAGTTCTTCAACATCAATCTCTCTGTTTGTGAATTATGTTTTTCTATTAATTGTTTGTTAATAACATTGTCACATGTTGGTCTTATTGGCAATTGGTGGCAAACATTTTTAATTGGTATTACCATCACTGGTCGTCCTCTGTTTCAGTGTCTGATGTGTGTTGAGCGTTACCTGGCAGTGGTTCATCCTGTAACCTTTCTGAAGTACAAACCTCTCAGATATAGAGTGATCTGCTGCACTGTGGCCTGGATAATCACTCTTGGCTCCTGTTTGTTCTGCATGTTTATTGTATTCTCATATCAATATTATGAGTTTGTCTTGTCCTTCTTGATTCAGTTCCTCGTCTTCCTCTCCATTCAGTTGTTTTTCCTAGTAGCTGTTCTCAGAGCTCTGAAGCAGTCAGGACCAGGAGAGAGAGGGAGAGAAAGAGAGGTGGAAAACCACATGAAGAGAAGAGCGTTTTATCTCATTCTAATAATTACTGTAAGCATGGTTGTCATATTTTTCCCATTCATTGTTATCGGCTTCTTGACTATTGGCACACGACTGAATACTGAACATTACAGAAGTGGTGGTTTGTTTTGTTTTATTGTGGGTGGTTTTGTGCACCCTTTTCTCTTTCTCCAACGGACTGGAAAACTTTCCTGTGTCTGTACCTCATAAAACCTGAAACTGTATCAAAACATTGTTACTAAACAACCCTTTATTATATAAGTATACCTTACATTGTAACATCATGGGATACTAATGTGAATTGACAGCCCATTCTCACTCCCAAGGCGTCACCTAACTGACGCCTTGGGAAGCATTTGGACATGCTTCAATATCTGACGCTTTAGGCGCCCTTTAGCGTCAGTTAGATGACGCCCTAGGATCGCGTGTACCCTACCCCCACCCCACACCTAAACCTAACCGCGTCCTCTAACTGACGCTTTCCTTTAGCGTCAGTTAGATGACGCCGTAGGATCGCGTCATGTAAGTGACGCTAAAGGGCGCCTAAAACGTCAAATATTGAAGCATGGTCAAAGGTGACGCCTTGGGGTGAGAATGCGTTGGAATTGAAGTGTGTAATATATTTGAATTTTGACTATAAATCACATTTTGTAGTTTGTATAATGCATTCATGTTTCATCTGTCAATTGTGGTTTATATAGTTTGTTTGCCTTTGTTGTATTTGGCTTTTAGCTTGCTTAGTTGGGAACACTTTATATTCAACAATATTATTGATCTGCCTGCATTGACACCATTGTATGAGAACTGAACTGAGCTTGACGATGACATCATGGTTTTCTGCAGTGCGGTTTCTAGGAATTTACTTTCTACCAGGTCTGTTGTACAGCTGAAACAAACTTTGTTGGATTATTTTCCTGTCATTACTGTAAAGCTGTTTTGAAATTATCTGTATTGTAAAAAAAAAAAAAAAAAAAAAAACTATATAAATAAAGGTGACTTGACTTGACTTTCTGTCTAAAGCGATAATGCAAAGTCAGTGTTTGTCTATATTATAGAAAAAATAACTAAAATCTGCTAAGCATTGTGGTCCTGATCACCCTGTCAGGGGATGTTTGTGAGAAAGTTACCAGTTCACATTATAAAATGGCTGATTGCCAAATAAATACGTAGGCTATAGGCCATTCATTAAATGTTTATTTGAATCACTGAAATCACAGACATGTGTTTGTCATTTGAACTTGACCCACTTATTCACCGCTCGGCTCCGTCCCATGCTCTCCCACTACAGACTTCGCTGAACCACGTCCCCCTCGCCACAGGCGTTAAGCATCCGGTCAACGTGTACTACAGTTTAGCCAATCACAACACACCGGCCCAAACTAACCAATCTGAGCCCACTGCCTTTTTCTGAGGGAGTGGTTTTATAGAATCAGGAAGTCAACCGGTTGTTCAAATGACAGAGGAGAACGCGGCTGACAATAAAGGTGAAATTTATGAAAAATAAGACTTTTAAAAAAAAGAAAAACCATGAATACATGTTATATTGCACCCCATAAACACAACCATGCAAATAAAAAAGCAGTAAACCACCCCTTTAAATACTCACCGCTTTCTCATTCCCTTTGTCAGATCGTTGTCTGATGTTCCGAGTGTTGGTGTTCCAGTCCTGTCTTCCTGTCTTCCTGTTCGTGTTTGCCTACACACTCCCAAGAAGTTGAAGGGGAATACAACAGAGTTTTTCATATTTAATCTATTTTGTCTGCCCTCATTAGTCTGTCTAATTTTACACTAAACCACAATTTCATGCCCCAAACTGGTTGTCTACAATAGTAAAAACATACCACTCATTAAAGCATCAGATCACAAATTTGTGTGAGCACAGATTTAATTTGTGTTCATCATATCCCATACGATTTGCAACGCTGTAAAAGCTTTTAAATGTAAATTTTCCACATTTAACAAAAAACATTCAAATGTTCTAATGGTACTCATCTTTTTAACATGGTTTCCACATTAAATATTTAAATACTTGGTTTTTTATATAATGTGCTGTATTCAGTCAAGCACATAAATACTTGTGACAGCGTGTCAAGTCAGTCTAGAGATTTATGATGATTCATTGATTCAAGACATTCAAGATTCAGGTGACAAACGAGCTTTTTGATTATTTTCTGTTTTGCTTGAATGATACATTAATAAAATGTCAGTGATTCTGTTGCTGTCAGCAGGTCCTGAGGTTTGGGATAAATACTGAAAACTACAGTAAACTGGAGATATGAGTATGATTGTATGACAAAATGTTATAAGATTTTCCATGAATCCAGGCTAGACCTAACATGTCATATTTTAATTATGATTTTAGTGTACTTGTATCAAATAGTGTACTTTTTGGTACTTACTATTTATCATTTTTACAGAATGAATGTCTGGGACACTTAAATTCCACAAGTACATTAAGAACATGCGCTTTTATGGCAAATTGCGCGTCCCGTCGGCCCCAGAGGGTTAAATTAAAGTTTAAAGTGTTTGTTAACGTCGTGTTAAGCCCCCCCCCCCCCCCCCCTCTATCTCTCTCTCTCTCTCTCTCTCTCTCTCTCTCTCTCTTAATTATTGATTATTTTAGTTATTGGGTTTGGCAGGCTAGCATGTAAAACAACATGCTGTACACTCACCTAAAGGATTATTAGGAACACCACACTAATACTGTTTTGACCCACATTCACCTTCAAACCTGCCTTATTTCAACATGGCATTGATTCAACAAGGTTCCGAAAGCATTCTTTAGAAATGTTGGCCCATATTGATAGGATAGCATCTTGCAGTTGATGGAGATTTGTGGGATGCACATCCAGGGCACGAAGCTCCCATTCCATCACATCCTAAAGATGCTCTATTGGGTTGAGATCTGGTGACTGTGGGGGCCATTTTAGTAAAGTGAACTCATTGTCATGTTCAAGAAACCAATTTGAAATGATTCGAGCTTTGTGCCATGGTGCATTATCCTTCTGGAAGTAGCCATCAGAGGATGGGTACATGGTGGCCATAAAGGGATGGACATGGTCAGAAACAATGTGACATTTAAACAATGCCCATTTTGACACTAAGGGGCCTAAATTGTGGCAAGAAAACATATGATGTTTTATTAACAAAGTTTGGGAGAAGCATGTTCAGATAATTAACACGGGTGGAGAGAACTCAGCAATCATGATTAAAACGTGTATATAAAAACTCAGCAGTCTTAACTCATTTCTGTGATAGTTTAGCAGCGTACCAGTTTCTGGTTCACAGACGGCCCCTCAACCTTTCATCCTACGCCGGACATTGCACCCGAGCCCCAGGCTTCTTCACGCGAGTCTCGGATGAAATTCAAGAACACAAGCAAGATAACTTACCAGTTTTGGAAATGTTGTTTTGAATTTAAAGCACCAGTGTGTAAGACTATTGTGTGTATGCATGTATAGTGTGTTTATTTTTGAGAGCTTGTGTGTCCTGAGGGCAAAATTTGTGTTTTTCAGCCACAGTGCAACACAGACTGAATGGTTTTGATTGTAGAGCTTCATTTTGACCTGAAAATATGTTTGAGGAATTGGGTGAGACTTTATGGATTTGTGTTTACTGTTTTATGAGGCATAGTTTCAAGAAATGTGTTTACGCAATCAAGAAAAACTGTACGATACTGGCACTTTTGTTTCATTTTACATCTCCACCGTCTCATTGTTAAAAGTTTACACAACACATCTGTCTTTGAAAGCGAATATGTTGTCACTTAATGAATTTGCATATCAGATTTTCAGGACACATCCCATACAAATTTCAACCCGAAAACAGATTTACTTAGAATGCAGACAGTCCAGCTATAAGGCTCACTGTATTACTTGTATCTACAAAGTTTTTAATTAATTTGAATTTAAAAACAATTGCCTGAAAATACTTTATGCGACTGGACAAAGGTAAAGGGCTGATTAATGTTGCTTGTTTTGATCAAAGAATTTACAACATTAATTTACTATTTAGGAGACGATGATGTAGTGTTAATAGAATTTATTTTACATTGATTTTATAGAGCATTTTTTTATTAATTTCCTCTGGTGGCCTAACTCTTGTATCTCTCATTCCTAGATCACAGTTTTGTTTTTTGACCGCATTCACTGAAGCAATGAACATCTCTATTGAGATTTTCCCCACTGGATCTAATTTTTCTGCTGACTTGTTTTACAATGACAGTGTGTTGGAAGATCGTTTGACAATGATCTCACTGGTAAATATCGTCATCGTTCTCTGTGATCTTCCTACATACGTTTATGTGACATGGCTTATAGTGACAGGAACCGGAAATGGACTTGCAGCAGAGTTCTTCAACCTGAACCTCGCTGTCTGTGAGATCTTCATATGTGTGGAATCTATCTTGAGTCATCTCATGTTTAAAGTTAAAATTCTCTGGATATTTGTGGGATTTTTGGATGGACTAGGCATCACCGGTCGTCCTCTGTTTCAGTGTCTGATCTGTGTTGAGCGTTACCTGGCAGTGATTCATCCTGTAAACTTTCTGAAGTACAAACCTCTCAGATATAGAGTGATCTCCTCTGTTATTGTCTGGATGGCAAGTTTTGGCTCCAGTGGGATCATTATATATTTTTTTATGTTCCAGCCCATGTTATACTTTGTTTTTTTGTTGGCAGAGTTCTTTGTCTTCCTCTCCTTCCAGTTGTTTTGTCTTGTGGCTGTTCTCAGAGCTCTGAAGCAGTCAGGACCAGGAGAGAGAGGGAGAGAGAGAGAGGAGGAAAACCACACGAAGAAAAGAGCGTTTCATCTCATTCTAATAACTAATTTGACCCTGCTTATTTTATATGCTCCTTATGTAATTTCAGTTGCTTTTTTTAGATCAACACTTTCTGATATAGCCTTATCTATTTGCAATGTTTGTTTTACTTCAGCTGGTTTGGTACAGCCTCTTCTCTTTCTTTACCGGTTGAGGAAACTGCCCTTTATTAAATATAATTAATTCTACTTTAATCATCATCAATTTACAATAGCATTTTTTAGTGTAAATATTTATTGATGATGATAAAAACAAAACTGTTAAAAGTATGAATTTATTTGTTATTGTACGTTTACTTATGTTTGTTATGCCACTTGGGAATTGTAAAGCAGTCTTACATAAACAGCAATTTATCTGAAAACAGGAAGTGATATTTTGCAGTGTTTATTAATGTTGCTTTTAAAGATTTTATTGTAGGGGTTTGGTGTAAGGAATGTCCTTGCAAAATGCTTTTTTAGTTTGTTTATAAAGTTATGTGCTTTTAAATGTGTTGAACTAAATGAATATAATTAAAATAAATTAAAGTACATTTATTTGATCATTGTTTCTTGCAATAACTTGAGTAACAGGCAAAGCACCAGAGATTCATCTTGACGGCACTCGGAAGGAAATGGAATTAATCAAATTCACAAATATTACACCATTTAAACATTATTACAGTATATATACTATATATATATATATATATATATATATACCAAGTTATTAAAAAAATATTTGTCATAGAATACTCTGAATAAAACACACATAGAATAAAAGTTGCTCTGTCTACTTTGACGCATGTGAGTGGCATGGCATAGGTTAGATGTCACAACGAGCGAGAAAGGTTTGAAATGGAGAAGCTAGATCTCCAACCTACGGGGAATTCACCAGTTTTTTTTTTGTTTTTTTTTAACAGGTGGTTATTTCAGGGTGTGAGGAGATTTTTGTGACACCTTTCTTTCATGTCACACATCTGATTCTGAATAACATGCAAAATTAGTCTTCCTTCGATCTATCATCTTGTGTATGGGACTCATCCCATATAATAAGTAATAAAGTTCATAACACATCAACTTTGAGAGCAGACATTCCAGATATAAATGACTATAAATATAAATATTTTTTTCCTTCCCAAAATTGCATGAATTATACTATCTTAACAGACAAATTGACAGAGGTTTATTATGTTTTGTAATGGGGTAACAGGGTTGCACACACTATGTGGGACAGTGTTTTTTATTAAAGGACATAATTAAAGCTATTTCTACAGTTATTTTACAAAATAATATCAAAATGCTGTTTCAAAAACCACAATAGGTTCTTGACAAGTGTACAATAGGTTCATTTTATGTCAGATAAAAGTCTACCAAACATATCTAGACGGTCACAATGAAACGATGAATATCTCCAATGAGATCTTCCCCACTGATGCATCAAACTCAAGTTCCAGTTACTTGTTTAACAACAGCACTGAGATGGAAAATAATTTTTTATATTTACTCAATGTGCTGCTGGGTCTTCCTACCAACTCCTATATGACACGGCTTATAGTGACAGTAACCTGAAATGGTTCCTTGAGAGCGGGCACATAGTTTACATGTATGTGTGTGTGATGACCCGATGTTCACAGATGGAGAGCGTGCAGTTATGGCCTTGTGAAGTGCAGTGAAGTTTGACTGTGCTGAGCTGGGCGCTGTGAGGTGAAGGCGAGGCTTAAGGGAGAGGCTCCGACGAGACAGTCGCTTCCGTCATGGGTTCCGGCGGCCTTTGCGAACAGCGCTTCTTCTTGTGCGGGCTGAAGGTGGCAAAGGCGGCCGGCTTCTTCAAGCGCTGTCCTGAGCTGGCAAGTTGCCTCTGAAGTCCAGCGATGCGAAGAGCTTCGCTGAAGAGATGAAAATCAGGGAAGCAGCCTCCGAA